TTAAACATTTAGGTAGAGGCTGTGTATGTACCTCAGGGGATACAGCCTTCTTTAGCAACGATATGTGATACACTAGGTGCACTCTGCAGTCTTCAGGTAGTCTCAGCTTGTATGCCACAGGGTTGATCTTCTCCATCACCTCAAAAGGCCCATAAAATCTCGGGCTTAACTTTTGGTTGCTTCTTCTGGCTAGTGTCTTTAATTTGTAGGGCTGAATTTTCAAGTACACTCTGTCCCCTATGCTCAACTGAACCTCCCTCCTGTTTTTATCAGCTTGCTGCCTCATGCGGTTTTGTGCTATAGCCAGATTGCTTTTCAATTCAGCAATCATCTCATTCCTCTCCGCTGTGAGCCTATCCACCTCTTCCACTGTTGTTGCCACCATATCTCCCCGGATTAACACCGGAGGATCTTGCCCATAAAGTGCTTTGTAGGGACTGATCTTCGTAGATACATGGTAGTTGGTGTTATACCAGAACTCAGCCCATGGTAACCACTTGGGCCACAGTTTTGGTTTCATTCCTGTCATACATCTCAAGTAGGTTTCAACACATTTATTGACCACCTCTGTCTGCCCGTCCATCTGGGGATGATAAGCCGTACTGTACTGTAGCTTGGTCCCAGCTAACCTGAATAATTCAGTCCAAAATGAGCTTAGGAAAACAGCATCCCTGTCTGATACTATCGTTTTTGGAAATCCATGCAATTTGACCACCTCCTGTAGGAATAATTCAGCCACACTTTTAGCATTATATGGGTGTGTTAATGCTATGAAATGGGCATATTTTGTCAACCGGTCCACCACTACCAGAATGGTATCCTTCCCCATTGCTTTTGGAAGCCCTCCAACGAAGTCCATACTCAAATCATTCCAAATCTGCTTAGGAATGGGAAGGGGTTGGAGCAACCCTGCTGGACACAATGTCTGATGCTTATTCCTTTGGCATACTTCACACTTTTGGACATAGCTCTGAATATCTTTCCTCATTCCTTCTCAATAGAACAACGTTGAGATTCTTTTCATAGTCTTGAAACTGCCTGCATGCCCCCCTATGGCTGAATCATGGAATTCTTTCAATATAGCATTTTTTCTCTCAGAATTTTTGGGAATCACCAATCTGCCTTTGTAATAAAGTAATCCTTTTTGTAGTTTAAAATCTGTTACTGCCTCCGGTTGCCCCCAAATTGATTTGATGATTTCCTTATACTTGTCATCCTCCAAGAGCTCATTTTCCAAGCCCTCCCACTCTTGGCAAGTAACCATTGACAGAGCATAGAATCCGCTTTTTCTGGAAAGAGCATCTGCAGCCTTATTTTCCTTCCCCGGTTTGTATATGATGTCAAAATTGAACCCCAGCAATTTGGTAACCCACTTCTGCTGGTCCTCCCCCAATAATCTCTGTTCTGTCAAATACCTGAGACTCTTTTGGTCTGTGTGCACCTCAAATCTTCTTCCCAGCAGGCAGCAGGTATGATCTCCACTTTTGTATAGCCAACACAATGGCCATTAGTTCCCTTTCATAAACTGACTTGTTTTGGTTCCTGTTGGACAATGTTTTGCTCATGTAAGCTACAGGCCGCCCTTCTTGCATTAACACTGCCCCCACTCCCTTTCCTGAAGCATCTGCCTCTATAACAAAACTTTTACTGAAATCAGGGATTTTGAGTACAGGCAGCCTTGTCATAGCTTGTTTCAACTCTTCAAAGGCCCCCACAGCTTCCGGGTTCCACTGAAACCCTTCTTTCTTCAATAGATTGTTAAGGGGTGCTGCTATTTTTCCATACCCCTTAACAAACCTTCTATAATACCCTGTGAGTCCCAAGAATCCCCTTAATCCTTCCGCATCCTTAGGTCTTTCCCAGTCCAGCATATCCTGTATCTTACTGGGATCTGCCTCCACCCCTTTTGCTGATATGATATGGCCTAAATAAGCCAGTTTCAATTGTCCAAACGCACACTTCTTTTGATTCACCACCAGTTGGTTTTCTTTCAATGTTTGCAACACTTCCTTTACATGCCCAATGTGGTCTTCTTCAGTTAGGCTGTAGATCAATATATCGTCGAAAAAGACTAACACAAACTTCCTCAAGTAAGGTCGCAACACTGTGTTCATCAAAGCTTGAAAGGTGGCAGGAGCATTTGTGAGACCAAACGGCATAACAATGTACTCATAGTGTCCTTCATGTGTGCGGATAGCTGTTTTGTGGATGTCCTATTCTTTCACTCTGATTTGATGATAGCCTGATTTCAGATATAGTTTTGAAAAAATCTGTGCTGCCCCCAATTCATCCAAGAGTTCTTCTATCATCGGAATGGGAAATTTGTCAGGGACTGTAATTCGATTCAGGGCTCGATAATCGCCACAAAATCTCCATCCCCCGTCCTTTTTTTTAACCATCAAAACTGGGTTGCTATAAGGACTGGTGCTTGGCCTGATAATCCCTGTTTTTAACAATTCCTGCACAATCTTTTCAATCTCATTCTTGTGGTGCTGGGGGTACCTATAAGGTCTAATATTTGGAGGATTTGCTCCTTCTTTGATGGTAATAGCATGGTCACAATTCCTCTTAGGAGGTAAACCAGTGGGAGGTTGGAATACCTCTGCAAATTCATTGATGACCCTTGGCACCCATGGTCTCTCCTGCCCTTCTTCTCCTTTGGTTCCTGTTACTGCACTGCTGAACAAACAATATCCTTCTCTCTGCCCTTGCATAGACTTCATGAAAGGTTTAAATGAGGATTGATTTCTGCTGAGATTAACATTTCCCTGGAGTGCCCTGATCTCCCCTGCTTCCTGCCACTTGATGGTCAATTGATTGAAATTGAATTCAACATCTCCCAAGCTTGCTAACCACTCCAACTCCAACACCATTTCAGTTCTTCCCAAGTCTAACACATAAAAGTCTTGGACAATGTCAATTTGTTGTAGGTTGACATGGACTGCTTCACATCTCCCACTGTCTCTGATCAAGTCTCCATTTCCTATTTCCACCCCGAATTCAGGAACATGGAGGATAGGTAAGCCTGCTGCTAGGACTACTTTTTTTTATATAAAGTTGTGTGTGGCCCCACAGTCAATCAGGATAATGATAGTTCTATCCCCCTGTGCACTTCTCAGCTTCCCTTTTACTTTAAAAGTTTTAGGGGTGGTTATCCCCTCCTTGCTCATGAGCGACAACTGCATACTGGGAGCATCCCCCTCCTGCACTGGTGAAACAGGCTCCATAGTTTGAGTTTCCAAGTCCTCCTCATCTTCAGAATCATCTATCATGATGATTTGAAAGTGCTTCATCTTGCATACATGGTCTTTGCCCCGTTTTTCACCACACTTGAAGCAGAGACCTCTCCTACTTAAATCCTGTAACTCCGTTTGGGACAACCGGTGGGTTATTCGGCTGCCAGATTCCTTATTCTCCGCTTCCAGCATTTTCTTCTCCATGACAGGTCTTCCTAGAGTGGGCTGGTAATGTAGGCTGCTTCTCCATTTATTTTCCTCCATCCATTTGTGATTTTGCCCTGAGGAATACCCTTTATCCTTCCTGCCTCTTCTCTCCTCTTCAGTGTACCGGCTGATGTTCAAAGTTTGGTTTCTATCTTCTACTGCCTGTGCCTTATTCATCAACTCTGCCAGCGTCCTGACCGGATTTAATTTTAGCTCAGCCCGCACCTCAGGTTTCAACCCTTTCATGAAAATGCTTTTGAGCATTCTCACATCAGTATTCTTCAGGGGTGCCACCACCAACTCGAATTCATCCCTGTACTCCATTACACTGGCAGTCTGCTTGATACTCAATAGAGGGCCATAAGGGTCATGGATTAACCCAGGTTCAAACCTCTCAATTAGAGCTTCCTTAAACAATTCTCAGGTCCTCACATTAGAGTGTTCCTCCCACCAATGGAACCAGTTTAACGCTCGACCTTCCATGGCTAGTGTGACTATCTCAATCTTATCTTCTTCATCAATTCGGTTGAGTTTGAAAAAACGTTCGACCTTAATGGTCCAGCCATAAGCGTCGTTTCCATTGAAAAGAGGCAAGTCAACTTTCCTTCCAGTTCTCTCCATCCAACGACGGGGTTCATCAACATGCTTAGAAGAGAGAGATCGATGACTACCTGAAGATGACCGAGAAGAGGTTGATCGTCTGCGGAAACGGCGATCAAATTTTTGCATCATCAGTTCGCGAAGCGCATCAATGTCGCGTTTCACCTCCTCACTCCTGATGCGAGCTTCATCGCGATCCTCCTCGCTTCGGATTCTAGCCTCTTCCCGATGCCTCGCCATTTCACGCTCGATGTCCGCAGCCTGCCTCGCCAGTTCTCGCTCCAAATTTTCCAATCGATCGTCCATCGCTCGTCTGGTCGCGACCATAGACAGGTACCACGATCGGTGCTCTGATACCAATGTTAGAGCTCCAACCTGTACACAGTGTTTTACGCAGTACAAAGGAGAACAACAATGGCGGAAACGAGAGAGATAGTATTGATAATACATGTAACAAACAAGAGAGAGAAAGTCTGGCAGTTTTAAGAGGTGCCCCTCTCCAAGTCCCAGCCCAAAACAGAAGCCAACACCAGCCTGCTTTATTACAATAGCCACTGTCTATTTATAGTAATCCCCCCCCTTCCCTTCTACTTCTTATTTCTCCTTACATAGACTTTATCAAAATAGTTATTATTATTATTCTGCTGGATACCCGGGGTCCTAACATCTTGCTGGCCTCATACTAGAGTATCCTAATCCTATTACATTACTTCTATTTGGTATATTAACTAAAATACAATATCTATACCGATAGGAAACTACAACTTATAATCACAATAGGTAAATAATACTTATGGAAACTAACAACAACATCAATAATAATAGGCCTCTTCCATCCATATCAGGTTAGCTCATAAGTTGCTGCTAAATTAATATAAAAGGGGTCAAATAAGCTGATACAAAAAAATACTGCATATTAAGCTGGTAATGTAATAAATTTAGAGAAAACAGTACTACCCTCGAGCTAGCAACTTCTGAACAGCATCATCAATCCCACCTTCTGGTATGCCAACCTGACCAAAAGTGATCAGAAAGTCAAATATCGTTTCACAGCTTTGTTTGCAGAATACTTTTAAACACAGTTTCACCAATCGCATAAAAATACATATGAAAGAATCAGTTCAATGTAAATAAAAATACCTGTCTACATTTTCCTACACCACTCAAGGTTATCTTCCAATCAAGCTCCTTGTGGCCAATATCAGCATCAAGCTCATAAAGCTCATAAAACTTTCCCTGAAATATATAATATATAATAATAGTTGAGCATTTCAGAATTTTCAAATAATGATATACGAAGTATAATCAAAATGTTATGCCAAAATATTATTAAATTTCTACTAATGTAAATTTCCAAAAATATTACTACCTCTGTCCCGTTAGAAGGTTCCCATAGCAAAACGGCACGGTTATTTAGACAATAATTAAATAAAGTACTTCGATTATATTTTGAGAAATAATTTTAATGGGTATATATTATAATGTAGTTAGTATTGATAATTGTGATGTTATAAGTGTATTATTTTTAATATTTAATGATTAATTTGTCACTTTAGATTATTAATTGTTTCCTACAATGGAAATGGGAACCTTTATATGGGACGTCCAAAAAGGGAAAGTGAGAACCTTCTAATGGGACGGAGGGAGTAACTTTTTATAATGTTTACACTACTCCCTTCGTCCCTAAATTAGCTTCCAAAGTACATTTTCATGGGGATTAAGATAGTTGGTATTGTGGAGTGGAGAGTTGTGGAGAGGAGAGAGAAATGTGTAAGAATGTGTAAGAATCGTTGTGAACCACAAATTCTTTACCAAAAAGAGAAAGTGGAAGTTTATCTTAGGATGACGAAAAAGGACATTTGGAAGTTTAATTAGGGACAGAGGGAGTAATACATAATTAAATATAATTACGGTCAAAGTTGTGTGTTGGCAAACGTGAAAGTCAAATTGTTGCAATTAAAAGAGAACGGAGATAGTATGTATTAATTTAGACTGCATGGTGCAGTACGAAATCACAAAGCTGAAAACTTCAAATGATGGAATGAAAATCATACTTCATAATAGATATGGAACTGAAATAGCATATTAACAAGTTGTACTTGTGCATGCAGCTAAGCACATAAAAGGGGCAAAGATACATTAATAGGACTAGATAAATAACTGACCACTTTAAAGAAAAGCACCACGTCCATATATCGGCACTTAACATCCCAATATTGTTTTTGAGAAGCTGACATTTTTCTCAAAGCATCAGGTGGAATATAGAGCGTCGTGTTGTCATATAATGGGTCACTTGGTCTTCTGCTGTTAGCATCTCTGATTCGAGAAGGATGCAGCCATTCAAACTTACTGGTCATTTCAAATTCCACTTCAACATTCTTACAAACAGCAAAAGAATCCTGCAGTATTTTAGCCCTCTTGTTCATTTTCAAAGGAGAACTGTCACCCTTTTCTTGAAGACCATAAGCATCCTCTTGAATTCGCTTAAGTCGAGGAACTAAAGGGCGTGTGCCTGGGGTTTCTGGTTCAAGATCATCATCAGTGGTGTCAATAAAAATCTGGTTCACATTGTCCCCTTGCATGACTGTTCTATTGAAATCTATGGGGGTTTCCTTCGTTAAGAGTTTGCAAACCATTGGCACATCTCCGTGTACAACTTCTGATCTTTGGCTTCCACAAGTAGCAGATGACATCTTTAAGGAACCGTCACTGGTTAGGCTTCTACCCATTACCCCAGAAAAATTGAAAATGATCATTTTTAGCTCACTTAAAGTCTTAACCATTTCTCTTTTTAGAGGAAAGTCTTAAGCATTTCAAATTCCATTGTTTATACACACACATGCATACATATAAATACATACTATCTTTATCTCATGTATGTCCTACAGCTGCAACAATTAAAGACTTTTATAGTAGTATCTCCATCAGATATTAGTGAACCATCAACGTGAAATGATAATAGTTCAATTTGAATCAAGTTACTCTGATGCCTGAGTTGTTAGAGAGCAAATGAACTCCAATTACATAAATATTTACCCATAAGAGCTTATGTATTTATAATTTTTAAAATTATTGAAGAGTAAAACTAGAGGTATTCAAAATTTAATTTTGCACCCTATTTTCATTTGTCCAAAAGGTTGAATCCAACCCTAGGGGCCCCCACGCCCCGACCCGACAGAGCACATGGGAGGTTGTAAATCACGGTGACTCAAGCAATCCTAACGGTGGTAGACTTTATACCGTGCGCACCAGAGGCCCGGCCCGGCCCAACACATAGGAGTTGTGACCTCCACACGGTCGCTACGGGATTCGATACTTGGTCATTTGTCCAACTTTCCCACCGCTTTACTAGTTGAGCTATCCGTGCGGGTTTGCACCCTATTTTCAGAACCAATAATATGTACAGCATAATATTAAAGTCCGAAATTTCAAACCATTTTCTAATGGGAGTTTGCACCTCATTTTAGCATATTTTCTTAACTTCAGGATGCAAATATTAAGAATATTGAAAATGTGGTTGCAAACTTGAGTTTGGATGAAAAGGAGGAGCAAATATGATTTCCAGAGTTACGAAAATTGAAGAAGCTAACTCAAGAATTGATTTCCGAAAATGTTGTTCAATAAAAGTGGGAAAAATAACAATTGTAAATGAAATATCGTTTTCTTCTATTACCGAAAACATCACTCCAGGCATTTGAATGATATTGTAGCTTGGCAAAAAGTTCGATGTTTAGCTAAAAACAAGTGCTACATTTCGACAAAATACCTATCTGAGGATTTCAACCCGTTATCAGACTTCAGGAACTTGTGCTTAATACTGGCGAAAACGGAAGGCTTAGTTGCTGTGTCGTCGTCGTTTGTAGGGAATATCTGACGCGGTACCTTTTCGGGAGGAGTCTCGATACTTCTAAGTTCTTCAGTTAAATCTAAGGAGGACGGAAGCAAACTAAACTTAGTCGGCGGGAGATCATTTTTATTGTGCTGAACGTGAGCAGTCTGGTGGCTGGTGGATATGGCTCCGCCGGATCGCTGATTCTCCGGCGAGGGTTTCTTCAGAAACGATAGAATAGATGCCTGACGTTTCATTGCCCAAAGCAAAGAGCGTCGATTTGCTACATACACAGGGAGAAAGAGAGGAGCTACGAGGGATTCAATTCAGTGTGAAAGGAGGAGTAGATGTTGGCGCGAAAGCTCGATTTTCAGTCCCGCTGGCCTATCACTTGGAGCGGGAAGACCGGAACAACCTTACTACTTACTAGAGGGCAAATTACCATTAGGCTAACTAAAGCCTAATACTCTTTCATGAATCAAGGACACGTTTACTTCACCGGTTATTAAACGGTGCTTATTAAGACCCGTGTTAATAAGCGGCGCATAAAATAAACAATGTTTTAAGACCGTGTTTACTTCAAACGGTTTAAAACACCGCTTAACATTAAAATGTCCAAAATAACCCTATACATATATATACACACAAACATTCATGAACACAAGTATATAATACAATATGTGTACCCATACCCCTAACCCCTAACCCCTAAACCACCCTACCTTACCCCGACCCCACCCACCGCCTACCCCTACCCCTACCCTACCTACCTGACCCCACCCTAACCTGTCCCCACCCTACCGCAACCCTACCCCCGACCCCATAGGCCCCTACCCCCATAGGCCTTACCACATCGACCCCACCCCGACCCCACCTTACCCTACCTTACCCCAACCCCGCCCCTACCCCTACCCGACCCACCCCCTACCCCACCACACCTACCCTGCCCCTAGCGCCTCTATCACATCGGCCCCACCCTGACCCCACCACCCTAGGTATAGTGGGGTAAGGGGTATAGGGTGGGGTGGGGTAGGTGGGGTGATTGAGGTCAGGTAGTGGTAGGGTGGTCGGGTAGGTAGGGGTTGGGGTTGGGTAGGTGGGGTAGTGGTAGGGTGGGTTCGGGTAGGTAGGGTGGGGGTTGAGGCGGGGTAGGGGGTAGGGTGGGTTGGGTAGGGTAGGGGTAGGGGGTAAGGTGGGGTCGGGGTGGGGTCGATGTGGTAAGGGCCTATGGGGGTAGGTGGTAGGGTAGGGTGGGGTCGGGTATGTGGGTAAGGGGTGGGGTAGGTAGGGTAGTGGTAGGGTGGGGTCGGTAGGGGTAGGATGGGGTAGGGTTGGGTCAGGGTAGGGGTAGGGGTAAGGTGGGGTAAGGGTAGGGTGGGGGTCGGTTAGGTAGGGTAGGGGGTGTCTGGTAATGGGGTAGGGTAGGGGTAAGGTGGGGGTACATGTAGGGTGGGGTCGGACAGGTAAGGTAGGGGTAGGGTGGGGTCGGGGTAGTGGTAGGGGGGGTCGGGTAGGTAGGGGTAGGGTCGGGGTAGGGTGGGGGTCGGTTAGGTAGGGTAGGTGGGGTGGGGTCGGGGTGGGGTCGGGGGGTAGGGTGGGGTAAGGGTAGGGTGGGGTCGAGGTGGGGCAGGGATAACAATAGCTTAAGGGCAAGGGGTAAATTCGGAAACTCAAAAAGCTTAAAGTGCCACTTAATTAATACATGGGGGGGTGGTATGCTTAATAAGCGGCACTTTAAGCACCTCTTTCGATTAGTAAGCGGCTTTTTAAGCAGTGTGCGTGTTTACTTCACTTGTCTTACTAACCTAACTGTGACTTTAGCAGTGAAGTAAACACCTCCCAAATTGTCCGCCGCCAGTTTATAAGTATTCATTTTTTCAATTTAATTTTTTCCTGTGTTAGCCAATAATGTCAGTATATATTTATTTACAAAAGTATTTTATATTAAATTCTTCTTTTTATTACTCCGTATTATATATCAATTTTTGTCAATTCTTTTTTTGCGAATAATTATGATTTAAACTGTCAACTACTTAGTATTCAATGTAAAAAAAATATGGGGTTTATTTTTTTGTTACATCAAACCTATTCTTGAAAGAAATAACTGAAAAATGTAAGAAAATAAAAATTAATAATAAGATTTTAATTTTGCCATTTTGATGTACTTAAGAACAATTTTAAGCCTAAAAAACTCCATCAAATGAAACTTCATATTTAAAAAAAATTATATATGACATATCGGTGCCGTATGAAAGAACGTAATAAGTTATAAACTTAGATATATTTGTTATAAAATTGAATTACAATAAAAAAGTTATGTCCTTTTTTTAAAAAATGATATTTTTATTATGTGTGGGGCCATCTTGTTTCCTTACCTACTTCCAATTTTTTCTCCTCTCTCTTGCCGTGAATCCAGCCTCCAAACTCCCCATCCAAGGGTTCCCCAAGCCCATTGTAACCCCAATGTTCTAAAATGTGCAAGGCGTGCCAAGGCGTCACACCAAAAGTCTTAAGCCTTCGAAACATAGGGGAGTTTATGAGTGGCCTAGGCTGAAAAGGCGTTTTGAGTTTTTAGTTTTTACTAGTTTTTTTGTTTTCCAAGAGCTATTAGTTAGTATATAAATGTGATATTAGATAAAATCACGAAAATAATTATAAATTTCAATTTTTATAACGAACATATACTTCTAGAGTTCTAAAATCACAAATAGTAGTTGTAATTATGCTTACTACAAAAGGTAGAATTAGATAAGTAATTGGGTGATGAAACAACAAGTGTATTGTAATAATAGAAACATTACCTAATATATGACCAAACAAGGATTATAGAAAAAATATAACTTAATTAGTTTAGTGACTAATTGTGAACAATATTGACAATTAAAGTGGTTACAAAAGTGCATTCATAGTTACTTTTATCACATTTTATATCTTTAATTTATGTTAGTAATATTTAGAAAAAACCATGATAATAATAGAAGCAATGATAATAAGTGAAATGGTAGTAGTAATATCTAAAAAATTATAATAGTCAATAGAGGTAAGGGTGTTTTAGGTATGAAAAATGTGTTGGTGTAAAAGTTTAGCATTACTTAATTGTACATCATGTTATAAACATTGTACCAGTTATTAATAACCTGTTATCCTTCCGTTAAAGTCCAACCGATTGTTCACTTGCTGTCAGCCCCGTTAATGTTTTCTCCAACTCAACTGTTTGGATCCCTCAAACGGTGGAAAGAACTCAGACAGGCAGTTTGCGAACCCGGCCTCCTGAGCCAAATGATAAGCCACGAGATTAATCTCCCGGTAGATTATGATTATCAACATGTGAGAGCCTATAGATTCGATCAGCAAGTGCACACAGCAGATATGGTGGTATGTGTGCATCCTTCTTCACTCTGCAAAGAAAGTCCGAATCGGTCTCATTATGAAATCTGGTACGCCCCAGGTTTAGACAGCTACCAGTCATCGTTGCCTCATTCTCCTCTTGAAGAACTAAATAGGCTTGAGTAGGGAAATTCATCCCTGAAATTAATTGTCCCTGTTGGTCTCTGAGCACGATTCATAGAGCTTCTTGTGCTTGCAAAAACAGCATTTACGCTTATTAGTTGCATTTGGTGAGGTGGAGAAGGTCTTCCATGTCAAAAGTTTCATTTTCTAGCTATCTCACAGGGTAGGGAACTTCGCTCCTGAGTAACTCAATCTTTAATCTTGAATAGTTATTGGTTGGATTTGGTATACTTTGAACTTATGATTGAATAATTGGAATATGATAACTGTGAATGAATATAAGGTTGAAATGAATGTTTATGAGTTACGAAGTGTCAAAATTGTATACTTGAATTGAATAGTGTTCATATATGAGCAGTTAGTGTTAAGATCCAAGGTTTCATCCTAAAAGGTCAACCTGATAGGATTCTAACAACTAGCTCCACAAGATAGTCTTATTTTTTAAAATCAAAAGCCAGAATTTTGAGTATTTATGTTGGATGAAAATCTAAGATGGTTAGATGACCACTTTTACTAGAAATGACTCCTAATCCTTAAAAGTAAAAGTGAAGATGCTACAAGGATTTTTTTTGCTCTTTTAATGTCAATTTGCATTCAGTTACGGATATGTAATTAAGAGTTTATTAAGCACACACATATCACATACAAAAAGAGTATGTATCAGTATATGTATCATGTAAATTAAGAGTTTAAAACATATAAAACCAAGCATATAAAAGTTGAAACATATAGAACACCTAAAAAAAGAAAAGTTCAAAAGTGATAAAACATTCATATATTCTTTCTCCTTTTATAAAAAAAATATAGAAGGATCAATAAAATTTTTGCTAATCACAAATTCTTATCATAGGTTGTTTGTACTTCAATCATTAACCGCCTGTTTGGGGCGAAAGCGTGTGCATCTATTTATCCTATCAATAAGTATCCTTTGATTGTAGGGTGCATCATGCATGGTTACTAAAACGTCCAATTTTCGGATACTATTCAACTTTTGCTTTGTGTAGCAACAAATCAGTGTGTAGACAAGTCATCATTACCAAGGCTGAAAAAGCCCTTCTAAAACATTTCATGGAATAATGAAGAATATTTTACTAATGACAGATTTTTTATATTTTAGTGATTATAATAACTTTAGTGATAGTATACTCATAGTAATTAATTAATCATATTTTCATTCATATATACTCCGTATGTTACTATTTCAGTAATATTTGACAAAACTCATGTATAAGTAATAAGGCATTTTAATAATTTACACACACAAATGTACGAGTATGTGTTTAATGTATATATGTGTGTGTTATTGTTTGCAGTTAGCACGGGAATGATGATTTTTGCCAGAATCACATCGTGTATCGGTGTATATATAAATATATGTGACATATGACTAGGGGTGGGCAAAAATACCGAAATATCGGTATACCGCACTTACCGTACCGAAAAATACCGGAAAATACCGAAATATTGGTATACCGTCATTTTCGGTACGGTATGATACCGTACCGATCTATTTCGGTACGGTAACGGTAAATGTTTTCAAATACCGCGGTATACCGGTATAATACCGTACCGACTCTCTACTCAACAATTACTTTTAATTCTAATATATTGTAGAAATCCATTACAATTTTGAAGCCCATAATTAATACTTAAGTTGGTTACAAATACAAATATGAAAAAATAAATGCCCAATTTTTCAAATCCACTATAACCTTATAGGCTTCTACCACGCTAACTTTAATGACTAATGAGTAATGTACAAATGTCAAGAAACAAGTTCATCTTGTTCCAAGAGCTTGCAAGTCGTGATGGTTGGGCTGCTAAGTAGCTGACGAGTGAAGAGAGATACACTTATGTGACAAGTGTGTCTACATAGGGATTCCGCGAGTCGAGACACACAACTTTGTCCGAAAGTCTTCAATTTTTAAAAAATTATAAAAATGACTAAATACACAATATCATATTAGGAATAAATGATTTTATATCCATGTTGTTTGAATAGTTTTATTTATTTTTGTTAGAGATCACTATTGGTTTAATTATATCTATATTGTTCAAGTTATTTTAGGAGAATGTGTTACTTTTTGATATGTGGCATGTTAAATTGCTTAAATATAATAATAATTATTGTTCAATATTGAATTGACATCAATAGATTATTAATTGTATTTCGTAACATTTAAATAATGATTTAATATGTCACTAGTAATAACGATTTAGTATATTTCGTTAGTCTATGATAATTTTTTGTATTGGCAGACATGCACGGTAATTTACCGATACCGTACCGTTACCGAACCGAAACTTCGGTATTTCGAAATGCGGTATACCGAAACTTCGGTAAGGTAAAGGTATGCAAATTTTGCATACCGAAAGTTTTGGTATGGCAAAGGTATGAGAAAAAATATAAGGTATACCGTACCGAACCACCCCTATGTATACATACGTAGGGGTGGGCAAACGGGTCTTTGAACCATGGTCCGGTCTGGGTAATGGCGGTACAGGTCCAAAACGGGCCGATTCCATTTTTTGTTGCCATAAAATAGTCGGTAGGGCCGGGTAATTTTTTTTAAAGATCCGAACCGGTTCCAAAATAAAAAAATACCAGGTACCCGACCCGTTATATATGATGTATATTAATTTATTAATAGTTTTGTGATAATCGATTTTTAAGTAGTTTTGTTTTCGTTTGCTAGAAGTAGGATTTTAAATTGAGTTGCAGTAACATCCTTTTGTTTTCAAATTACTAATTAAATCTTATATAAATTTCTTATTACTTTTTATTGTTATTGAATTATTCCTTTCTATGGAATTTAACTATTTGTTAAAAATGATTTTGTAATTTTTTTTTTATAATATTGTTCTTAAAATATATAAATTGTGCTTACCACCCCTCATGTATGTGTCAACTTTGGCTAATACTGGAAATTTAATAAAAAAACAATCACCTTAATATGTGATGTTAGATAACATGTTTAAATTCAAATGTTAGAAAATATGTATTTTGGCCATATTGCTTATTTTTGGAACTTCTTTAATTGTTTGGAACTTATTTACATGAAATTATGGAGTATTGGACTTGTCACTTGTGTTACATGTGCACCACTATGTTGTTATTTTGAAACTTGCTAATATAGTATATTATTGATTATTGATTTTTGGAACTTCGTGAGTTTTACTAATTTTAAGACATAAGAATAGAAACCGTAAAACCCGGACCAGACTGACCCGTTTCAAACGGGCCGGGTACGGGCCGGTTCCTATTTTGAAAATTGTAATACCCCGACCGGGCCGGACCGTACACTAGAATCGGCGGTTCCATTTTATTTTGCATTACCTGCCCCGACCCGGCCCGTTCCCAACCCTATACATACGTTTTTCTATGGTGATACTTTACAAAATGTTATTAGTTTTTGAGTTTCATTTTTCATACAGACAATTTTTTTTTTGAGACAAATTATACTACCTTCGTCCCGGTGGACTTTGCCAAGTGCAAAGTAGGTGAGAAATAAGAAAAGTAAAAATTGTGTGGTTGAGATTTGTGCAGAGGAGAGAGAAATGTGCAGAACCACAAATTAGTTGCTATAGGGGGTGTTTGGATCTGATTCTTAAAACTGCTTATGCTCCTTCAGGGAGCAGAAGCAGAAGCTGGAGTGTTTGGGTGAAAGTGCAGAAGTGATTCTGGTGCTCTAATTTATTCCTAGAATCAGTTTTTTAAGAAGCTGGGGGGTGACCAGCTTCTGAAAACTGATTCTGATTTTGCTTATGATTTAAAAAAGAAGCAGAAGCATAATCAGTTCCAAACACCCCCTTAATAAGTAAATGGCAAAATTTTTTGGGACAACCAAAAAGGAAAAGTCGGCAAAATTTAATGGGACGGAGGGAGTATTATTTGTAATGATTTCAATTCTAGATTTTTGACTAAAATGATTTCAACTCCAGTTATCTCCTTCATTTCTCTCACAGGACTACAACTCCAATGATAATGAAGTATGTGAGATAAAAATGACATAATATGACATGATAAAGATGAAAGCTAATTAAGAAAGAAATGAAGGAGATAACTATGTTGGATAAAGAGATCATGAACATGAGGTGATAAGATGGAAGAATTCACTGTGACACTTTCAAGGAGGAGATCACAGGTTCGAATCTCATCCCAGTTCAAGGATGTTGGCATTAACATTGAGCAGATACTACTCCATCCGTCCCATTTATATTGTTCCAGTTCATATTTACTTGGTCAGCACAAATCACTCTTAATTTCTTACTTTATACATAAAAAATTTATCATTTGATTCAAATTTTTGCGACTTTGTAAAGTTTAAATGTAGTTTCTGAATATGTAATTTTTTTTCCTAAAAATGATTTGAATGCGGATAGGGATCTGTTTTTTTTATAATCGCTCAAACGTCGTAAACCATGAAGAGACAATATAAATGGGACGGAGGTAGTATATAAGTTAGAAAAAAGGGTAGCTCTTCGGTGCATCAATGTTACGGAATGTTTTGGTGCATTCCATAGTTGGCATTATCTCATTGGTCCAGCTCATCTATTTTTTAAACATATGTGTATTCACTTTATAAATTGCATAGTGAACCTTATACTGCGTAAAATGGAACATTAATAGTAAACACTTTTTCCCTTTTCAGAACACAGCCTCCTATCGCTCTTATATCATTTTCCGTCTTCACTTCTACAGAGCAAACATGCATGGCCATGGCAGATCAAAATTCCAACGAAACTCCAAGCACGTGAGCGTATAAAGACTTTCTTTTTGTACGGTTCCAGAATCGATCAACGTCGGATGAATATGGACCAGTTATGGTCGGTCGATGTGCTGTCTGAAAAGATAAGTTTCCTTCTCTCTTCAGCCGTGTGCTGCTTAGTATGTCTTTCGTCTTCATCGTGCCTATTCACTCTTTCGATTCATCCAGATCTCGTAGTGCACTCCATCGCAGCACTGACAGTAATCTTATCCCACTTCGTTTCTGTCACTGAGGTAATTTTTTTTCATTGTTCCCTTTCATTTAGTTCACAACCTACCTTCACTGAATTGAATCCCCTTTTGTTATTCTTCATTTTTTTGCCACTTAAGGTTATTAGACTGAATGGATTTCTTCACCAAATTTGTATTGCAATTGTGGACCTTTTTCATTCCTCCAAATCTAATAAATTTCCTACAAATTTTGATTGCCCTTGAATTGAACCCCCTCTTGTTATAATGTTATTCTTATTTCTATTGCTACTTAGGGTTATTGGTGCCCTCACAGTACAGAAGGGATTCCTTCACCAGATTTCTATTGTAATTAGGAACATAAGACATTTGATAGTGAAATGTAAGGGATTTTGTTCCTATTTTATTTCCATTTCATATCCCCCTATCTATTTATATTTGATTCTGCGTGTGGAGATATGCAATGCTAAACAGAGAAGAGATTTGATTCTTTACTAATTTATATTAAGAAAATATTTTATACCTACTTTCGGGTAGAGTGAGCATTGATATCTTCATAAAACTGATCTCTCTACTAATAATTTAGTCAATAATATGTGGTATCCACCTACTTTTTGGCTCTTAAACATTGATTTCTTCATGAAACCAATCCCTCTACATACAATTTGAGTTGTGAATTATTACTCTCACTTACTTTGGAGTTACAAGAAACTAAGAAACTAGTCTAATATGTCAGCCTTTTATTTAATAGATACCGTTATATCATATCAGCCTTTTATAACCCTTTCCTGTAACACTTATGTTGTCCATTTGGTGACAAGGATGTTAGATAATGCATTGAAAAAACAAATGGCAGACTCTATGTCATCTCTTCATGGGCATGTCGCCTCTCTTCTTCGTCATATGGACATATGGTTGTTTCGCTTGTTAATGAGCATGCATATAAATTCAGGAGTGTAGCTCAGAAACAAGCTTTTCTGATGGAACTATATTCACCTGAACTCCGGATTTTCAAGAATTTGGTCTCAGGGAATGTGGCCAGTGTTGCAGATGTCATTTCCTAGCTACATCTACAAAAATCATCAGTCTTACGTCACATGAAATATGTGCTTCAGCCTATACTAGAGAGGAGAATTCTCGATCACTCTATCATACACAAGGCAATTGTGGAGTTTCTAAGCATTGCTAATCAGTCTTCTGGTGCTGATGTAATCCAGCCATTATCAAGCGCAGATCTTGTATGGATGATACACACCGGGGATGGATCCAGGATTGCAATTCTTTGTGTCAAGCATGGGAGTGCAAAGGATAGGAACAAAATAATCGAAGGGATGAAAAGAAAAATTGAGAAGATAGCTCGTGATAAGTTGGGTAGTATTGATGGGCATTTTGAGCTAGTTATAGTTTGTGATCTTGGAAGGGATATTTTGTTGTTTGTGAAGGTTTTTTTTTTTTTTTTTGCAGCTCATTAGTTAAGAGCTAAATTTTTGCATGTAAACTATCAATTTAACATTACATTAATGAAGAGTTGAGTTCTATTTCAGGGTCATTCACCCTTTTTTTGTGCTTATGGTGAGGCTGCTTATATCAGGACCAACCCTACTATAAGTGTCTTCAAACCCTTTTGTAATATTGGAGGCAAGAAGTGTTTTTCTTTAATTACCAGAAACATTAACAAAATCAGAACAAGATGAACAAAAAGCACACATAAAAAACCAGCAACAGTAAATCCTAAAGCCTCATTGCAAACACACTTTGATTGACAAAAAACAGTAGATGCATTCAATGGTACAATACCAACTTAATATAGAATAAGCGCTGCATTTATCAAATACTCGCCCTATCTATTACATTTTCTTTACCATAACAGCAGCAACAAAAACCATTATACGTATATAACACATTCTCATCCAAAATAGCATGTTTTTCTGCTTCAGAATGAACAACCATCTTAATACTTTCTAAATCAGTTTTTTCATAGGTGAAGTAATGAAGGCTTTCAACTCCTCAATTGAAGAGGCTTTACTTCCTGAAGAACTACTTTCGCCATCTCTTTCCTTTTGGTGGTCATTTGGCACCAGTATTTCATTCTTCTCAGACTTCATTGCAAAAAAGTGAATGGAGAACTCTTTATTCTCAAGTCAGAGACATGTATGGGACATAAGTGAGGTCTTACTTCAAGTTTTGGGTGCTTGACCATATCTTCCTCTTATGCAGTCCGCCTTCGAGGTGGAGGTCCTAAATGGCTGCGGCATAGAAATGAGAAAAAGGTTTCTTCACACCAACAAAAAAGCTCAAAGAAATGTAATACTGCCCTTATCACAAATTCACATTATATAAATTACAAGAAAATGGCTTCTTAACCTGAACATAACTGGTGCTTCACCCTTTTCTTTCACTTTATCTTCATACTCCTGCCACAGTTAAACTTTCCATGACCAACACACTAACTTTGCAGTGGAGAATAGAGCAACCAATCAACATTAAAGTCCAACGCCAATACAAGATGGGAGTTTTATTTCATTTCTCATTTCATTCCAAAGCGAAGAGATAATTAAATTTCCCCCACCCCCTATATAAGCCCTCTTTGGTGGGGAGACTTCAGGGGTGAGTGGGTGATTGATTAAGGGGTGAGTGATTTTTTTATTAAATTATTCTCACATTTAGATGGTCAGGAAGATAGTGAAGATGAAAAAGTTGAAGAAATACATGATTTACGAATAGAGATAAATTAGTAAAAAAAAACCAATCATCCCCTCCCCACCTCTCCTCCAAAATCTTCTGACCAAAAGAAAAGGAAACAGACATGTCATCAGAACAAGGCAATGGAATTTTGTGTGCCTGCATTTGATGGGGGGCTAAGGCAAGCTAAAATTAATTGAACTGTTGCACAATTAAGAAACCATTTCAAGCATATATAGCAAGTAATACAGATTTTTAGAAATGCCATTATTTTATTGTATATTAAGCTTTATCTCAAAGGAAGTCAATGTAACACGCAGGCCGCAACATATGCCAGAAGATGAGTGGTGTTACAATAAAAGCACCAAAAGTGATAAATTCACCGCCACCTCTTGGTCCCCTGCCAAAAGAACATGCAGGAACTCATACACTCATAAGAATGATACACATGGTATTTTTTAATGTGTGGACAAAAAAAACCATTCGCCTCTTTTCTCTACTATAATAAAAACATTATAATTATTGCCATTATAATATAAGATGAACTTTAACCTTATACTATCATATAAGTTAGTGGTCAGGAGGATATTTAGTGATTGATTTTGGTTGTTCCCCTTCCCATGTATGTGGCTGAGGCAAATGAGAAAGGTAAGAGGAACTCCAGTTTGTTGAAAGACTTTCACCTTCAACATTCAGAACTTTTATTTGCCTAGGATGATCAGGACATCATTAAAATAATTAGTGTACAGATATGAGGGGGCATTATCCGTTTGGGATCGTTAAACAAGCGAGGAACACTTCAATTGTAGGCCAAAACCCAAATAAAAGTGCACCTAAAGGGATATGGTTGGGTTACGAAGTAACATCAAAACACTAATTTGGTGGTACTTTTCAAATACAAATCGGAAAACTTAATGGAAGAGGAGATGAATGATAATGGAGGAAGTAACATTAACCTTCAAGACAAAGAAATTGAATATGTATCTGTATTTAAAGGTGGTGAATACGCACAACAACAAAATAGAGATGATGAACCTACCTTGGATTGAGATGCCGGATTTTCATTCCTCCGGCCCTCTCCCCCCTGGTTTCTTCGCCTCAGATGTCTCTCGCAGCCAAACGATAACTCAGAAGTTGGATTTTTCTTTCAGCGTAAAACGTAAAAGACCGGGGAAGGACCTCTGTGCAAAAAAACGTACGAAGTATTTTTAATTATAAAACTGATGAGGTGGATTAAACTACCAATGAAATACTGACAAATATGGAATGCACCAAAACATCCCTAAAGCATATGCACTATAAAATTTTCCTAGAAAAAATTATCCAAAAAAAAGATTTGAAGAATGGAAAAAAGAGGAAAAGAGGGGAGCGAACCGTATGGATGGACAAAAGGAGAGAAGAATGGATGTGAGAGAGGGGTAAAATAAATGCTAAATTTTTGGCATTGTTTTTCCCAACCACAGGCGGACCGCCAGGACAGGTACTTCACTTCGTCATGAAAGTTGAATCGTTGTTAGATCCGTCAACATGGTGAGAAATGATCATTCTTCTGTCTTCTTCCACGGCCACGGCTGCTTCTCATATGTTCTGTCTGTCTAGAACACTCATATCCCACAAATCTTGGATCACCGTTCCCGCCATGTCGATGAACTTCAACTCTCATGCCTTCGCGGGCAACCCCATCAAGCTCAGGACTCCAAAGCCCACCGATCCATTTTCATCCACCTCAGCTCTCCAAACTCTGAAAACCCTAATCTTGGGTAGGACCATTGAGCCCCTTTCGCCCAATTTCAGAATCTTGCCTTTCAGAAAGGGCCGGCCTTTAGCCGGCTCCTCAGGTGACCCAGACCCCAGTTGGCACCTGGGTTGGTTGGAATTTGGAGACTGTAGGGGATTGTTGGAGGACTGTGATGTAAAATTGAGTGACGATTCATTGGTCTATCTGGGGTCCAAGGATGAGGGGGGAGAGGATCTAAGTGTTGTGTACTGGGCTATGGATGTGTCTGAATGTGGTAGTGGTTTGGTGAAAAACTTGGGTGATAGACAACTTTGCTTTGTTGAGCTGAGGAGCTTGATGGTGGCCTCTGATTGGGCAGACTCTCGTGTGATGGGCGAACTTGCTGTTGCTGGTCATGTGAGTTTGGCCTCCCATCTCTCTCATCTTTTCCATTTTCTATGCTGATGGAGGCGGACTGGAAAATGTGATAATTTATAATAGTATATGTAGGGGTGTAAATGAACGAGTTCCAGCCTATGCTCTGTTTGAGTAAGTTCGTGTAGTATAAAATAGTTGCTCATTTTCGTGCATTTAACATTAAAAGTATTTATATGAATGCTTAAATACATTTGTTAAGGGTGTTATATGTTAATGCCCGCTCATTTATTTCCCATGAACAATCTTGTTAAGTTGAACAATATCTGTCACAACCCGTAAACAAACCAGTCATCATCATACCAAATGAACAAAGAAACAGGCAAACATTATTCCAAATCTTCAAGGAATTTATTTTAAATCTCATAATCAAATGTCAGAAATACCTTTAAAAATGCACAATGCAGAAGGGAAAGAGGAATTAAATGGAACATTGCAAGGGGGTAAGGGAGTAAAGGATATGACGTAGATATGAGTGTATAATATACTAATGTGGTATCAATGGGTATTACAATGAAGTGCTCATCTGTGGTAATTGAATTTCTATCCTTAGACTCAAGAGCAATAGTTACAACCTTGTACTTCTAAATCTAATGTTTACACTGAAATCTTTTACTTATCACAATTCTTTCCTCAAAAGCAAATGTTTGAAGTTTACTTTGGGACAACTCAAAAAGAAATGCGGGTACTTTACTTTTGGGAAAAGGAGTAACATTAAGTTTTCTGTTACATTCAATTAAAAAGAATAGTAGTAGTACTCATCCATGGCTTACCCATTGAAATATTTAAGTTATGAAGTGGTAGTACTTTGCTAGTATTTAATTTTCTACATTACCAACCTACTCTTATGCCAATGCACTTGCAGTTTTGTTTCGTGAACAGTATATATATGTATTAAAAACCTTAACATATAAGCGAATAACTGGCTTGTAGTGAATGTATAAAATTAATATCAAATGATATGTTCATATGAGCTGTACAAACTGGCTTGTAAGTGGATGGATAAAATTAATATCAAATGATATGTTCATGAACCGTCACTCTGATCATTATTAAAAAGCTCCATAGTGAGCTAAGTAGTTAAATTGCTACTCCGGTGGCAACTCGATCAAGGGCCGAATAACGATTAGGACCGATGATTCGGGATTACTCGGTGATTACTCGTCCATGTATTAATTAAACTTAAAAACATAAATGCCCCAAAATTCTAGTAATATATTTGTATTATATGAATAAAATAATAATAATCCTAATAATGAAGTGGAAACAAATCCCCACAATCATAAACATTCTAACTTCCAATAAAAGAAATCACGTAATAGTACTTAATTCTGAACTTTTATCTTAAATACCTAAACTAATCTTATTGAGTTCAGGGTCATCATTTTCTTCTTCATCCTCCATGTCCCCAATTCTAAATTGACTTTGTAATCTTATATTTCCAATTTTTAAATACCTACTAATTATTCATAAATTCCATAAATCCCAGTTAGTTTAAACTATTCAGATTTAACCACCAAAAATAATTTTTACTGGCTGCCAAGTAACTCGGCGAGTCAACCTTGTCACCATGTAGTGAAAATTGCGGAGTACTGGACGAGTTACTCGGAAAGATGGAACAGTGTGACTCAGAGTACAATTCGGCAAGGCCCTACCCTGAGATGCAAGTTCTCGGCTAGTACTCGGTGATTAGATAACATAGATAGTGAGTT